GTACTTCTACCATACCTAAAATAACAACGCTAAAAATGTGTATATTTTCTTCAGAGACAGAACAATTACTGTTTGTATATGCTTTTAAAAAGAATGAAAATAACTACAATCCACACGTTTCTGTCTTTCACAAACACAACCTTAAGCCAATGCATTCAAGCGTACCATGCCTTTTGATTATAAATGTGTCAAGATAACCCAAACAGCACTGTGGCAGCAATACACTATCTCATTGTCAAACACGACACTTATTTTAAGAAGACAAAAAACCTAATACGCACAGAGCAAAAAACATTTTTATCTCACCCATAATATTCATTCATCATAAAATATGTTAGAATTAGTATACAGAACTCAAAAGACCATTGACACCTCTCAGATTAATTTAAATGCAGGTTCTCAGGATAACTCATATTCCAGTTTGCTCTTCATTCCAACACAGTAATTTCAACGACAATGCATTAAGCACTGATATTCCTGAAAAGGCTTATAAAACAATTTAGACAATTACAGTAGGGTCATTCTGTCACAGAAAACCCTCTGAACTTGAACTCAAACCAGACAGTACTTAAGAGGTGCATACAAAGTTTATACTTGGTATTACCTTCAGATTGGACAACCAAGTTTATATAATAAGCAGGGTAATAGTCCTGGCAAAAATCCTTCCATCTGGAGTAAATATTAATTGTATTTTTTTAGGCTCATGTTTTAATTTCTTTGCACTGGCTGTAAATGTTAAGAAAGCAATTGGTTAGCTATTTCTGTATCAATAGGACTCTTCTACTAAAGGGTCAACTTTTAGATATTTTATAGAATGGAAATTCAAAAAGAATGTAAAATACAACTGTGAATATTCAAGCCCAAATATATGAAAAATAATTAATCCTTTTTCACATTTACATAGCTATTACCAAGAGTCTGCCTAAACCCAGGAAACTATGGCCAAGAAATCAGTATTTTTTAACCACCTATTTTAATTATAAACAGCCCCTTTAAGATTCCAGAAGAACAGTCTTTTCTTGAATGAATACACTTTGGATACTATCTATAGCCAGTGAAGTTGTGAGCGGACTGGAGAAAAACCCTAAAATATTACCAGAAAGGTACCATAATTGACAGAATGACAGACAGTTAGGTTTATTGTGATGGGAAAGATATGGAGACCTTTGATTCAACCACCGATGCTACTAAGCCTAGCAGGACAGGCATGACTTTGTCCCAGTCACTTAAACAGAACTCACCCCAGAAAAATTTTCTCATCAGATGCCCAGGTCTGGCAAGGCTTCCTAGTGGTAGCTCCCATCTGTCTGCATCAGAGGGCTTTGCTAGATGGTACTCTGTTAGTTTTAAAGAATTAGAACTGTATTAAGCGATCAGTTTCAAGACAATATTCCTAGAAAAGGACAATACTATTTAAGCAAAGATTCACACCATACATGGAGTGGCATTGAAAATGCTTCTTACAGGATAGACAGAAGAGCAATGAACCCCATCAACTTCCAGTAAGGGCTAGAAGTGAACAGACAGTGACAGAATAAGGCAATACAACCACATTAGATCTTTTTTACATGGAAAAACGCAGGAAGAAGAAATGGAATAAAAAGACATGTGAGCATTTGATCCTTAAATGCTGTGAGAGACTGCAACTCCAATTTTACTTTTAACAGGAAAACACTGAGTCTCTTCTTTATGCATACACTTGGGACTAATATGCAGAACAGGCTAAGTACTACCTTTTTTTTAATTCACAGAAGTTGAGGTCTTTCTTACCATAACTGCTCTAGTGGGAATACAGCACCCAAAGAGACTGAATGTTAGGAAGCTGCAAACCAGAGTCTACGAGGCTTACAGAAAGTCATTTAATTGGGTTAGTGTAACATCACTCTTCCTTAAACAGGAGTGAGTGTAGTATGTGAATATCTTTCACATGTGCCAGTCACTTAACCGTGAGAAGTTAAACTGAAGTAAACTAGACATAAATCCAGGCAAAATGCATATACTCACTTCCTCATGAAGGCCAGCTTTCCATTATGGTTCTGACTTTGCCTCCTAGCATCTCAGCCGTGAACAGAAGAGACTCATGTATGTTCTGAAGTCAAATACATCTTCCAGTCAAACCCAGCCAGATTTAATATTTCCACTATTCCTAGCCATAATGTAAATGCAAGAAGAAAAGTGATTTAACATTTACTTTAAAATTTACACTCTCAAAACCTTCTTCATATGGTGAAACTTAAAAAAACCCCAAACCTTTACAGTTCCTTTAGTGAACATCTTTTACCTAATGTTATTTCAGTTCGCCAAATATCTGTCTTGTTTCATTAACACCTTCTGAGGTGCTTCTGAGGCGTTTGCTTCAAAATGAAACACAATTCTGATTTTCTAATAGAAAAAAACTCTAACTTTAAAAGATATCTTCACTTTCGGAATGACATCTGCCATGTCATTCTATTAACTTCTAACTAGAAGTAAGGATTAAATTTACTCTGAGTAAACACAGTACAACATAGCACATCACATGCCACATCACACAGAACAATCAAACTACAATACACACGCAATGAGTGCTGCCATATTAGACTTAAGAAAAAGTGCCCTACTCATAATTTAACTGAGCTGTATATATTTAGTTTTTAATCTTCACTCATAAATAGATTTCTCCAGACTACTAATCATTGTCCCTCAATACCCTCCAATTCCCTTGGGAAAAAAACATAAGAAAAGCTGTCTAGCCTAGGCAGAGAAGAAGGAGCTTGACCTACTACCACACAGTGAGTGACACTAGGAATCCATGACCTGCTCAAGACTGAGCCTTAAATATTTCACCTCCCTCTTCCTTTTTTCTTCTCTCACTCTTGGTGAGTCTATAATAAACTGTTCTTTATTTTGTGTATGCCCAGTGAATTGTCTTTAGGTCCAAGCAAAGAGGAAGTTAAGTTAAATGAGACAAAGATGCAATTTCTTTGCTCTGTTATTTTAATCCAATAAAGTCCTAAAATATATCCAAAGTAGCTATTTAACACTAATTTATGAGTGCCTAGATTTAAACATTCCTATTTTTCCAGAAAATTACTGTATTGCCTCTCACTGCAATAATTTATGTTAAAAGAAATCAACCACCAATCCCAACATTTTTTGGGTTTGACTGTACTACTGAAGAGGAAGCTAGATCACAAAACATACAGGGCTCCTGAAAAACAAACTACAGCCAAATCTGACCTATCAGTGGGGGGTTTAGTCAGTTTGCGTATGAATTATGTCCAGATGTGGACACATAGGTATTTCCTCCACGCAGAATCAACTGAGATCAAAAGGTTCGTTTGATTATTTACACAGTACCATACCAAAGACTATGTTATTTCCATGGACAGATTAGATCTGGAAGCAGTTCAGCTATTGCCACCCAGTTCATAATAGTAAATATTGCCTGACTTAACCTTGCTGTAACTCTAAAGTAGGCAGTGAGCTTCATTAGCCCTGCACTAACCACCTGCACCTGGGATGTGACACAGCACCACCTAAACGAAATCAAGTTCATCTGTGTAAAATCCATTTTCAGTACTGCCACAGGACAAAATGTCCTCCCCCATTCAATGTCCTCAATAAAAGGTGTCCCTTCTAGTAATCAGCACAAGAGACGCCCTATTTCTAGTTTTTTATTTCAGAAGGGACTATTCTACAAAGGGGCATGTCTCCAGCTCTTTCCTTTCTCTCAGCAGTTCCCCAAAGAGCAAAAGGGTCAATGTTGCCACCAGTCCATTTACTCTCAAACTTCAGGCCACTGCTGATGAGGCTTACTCAACAAACCAGTGCCAGGAGGCAGCACGGGTATGCCCTGGCTGTGTGGGGGCAAAACCCAGCCCAGGGAACAGCTCCGCTGGGTTACTGCCTTCATCTGAGGGAGGCACAAACTGCTGCAAAATTCCAATGCAGTAACTCTAAATGTTAACATCTGGACTAATAATAAAAGGCTAGCTGCACCTCATTTTTCTTTTATTACTACTATGTCTAAATATTACAAGAAAACCTTTATTAGTAGCAAGTAATTTTCTTCCTAGAAAAAAAAAATCACAATTTTTAACGCAAAGATGCAGCGTCTCCTTCACTGACTGAACCGAGGGGTCCTGACTGACAAATCAGTATCTGCGTGTGGACTTCGGCCCGCTCTGTGTTTCAGCGATGGCACCCAAGCCATCGCCACCACAGCTGCAGCGTGGGGGAAGGGGAGGCGATAATCAAGCACCAGCCTGACTTTTCTCCGTCAAACATTGCAAATATTCCTACGGGAAACCAGCT